AATGGGATAGTTGTCCTCATTTCCATTTCAGAGGATTTGTCACTGATATACAGGAATGCCTTTGATTTATGCATGTTGATTTTATATCCTGCCACTTTGCTGAATTCATTTACTAGTTCTAGAAGTTCCTTGGTGGGACATTTTGGGTCTGCTAGGTATAGGATCATATCATCCACAAATAGTGCTAATTTAAACTCTTCTTTTCCTATCTTTATGCCTTTAATTTCTTTCATCTGTGTAATTGCTCTGACTATTCTCCTGTTAATATCCCCCTTCATTAGAGCTATAATCCAAAGTAGCTAATATATACTAACCCCCATACCCCCCTCATTCTTGAATAGGTGTCTGACATTGTTCTTATGGCCACCTTTATGGGGGGAATATTGTGGTGAGCCGTGTCAGCGGACCGTGGTCGCCATTACAAGATGGCGCTGATAAGCGCCGTGGCCTGTGATAAACAACTCCTTATTTTGGGAGAGTTGGCACGTAGCTGTAAAACACCCTATGAGAAAGATCCACGTGGCGGCTTTGCAYTGGGGCTTGGTATGCTTTATTAGGCTGGGGGGTGCGGGTTAGAAGAAGAAGCTTCCAGAGACACATAAGTAAAGGCCTGAATAAACTGCTGAAAGAAGATTCCTGAGTTGCGTCTTCCTTGCGGGCAAGGGGTCGCGACAGAATATGATTCTCACAAGAACTCAGTGCCCACCTCAACATGCTCCCATGTTTTTTGAGTCAAGGTCAGGCCAGGCTCAGAATCCTGTGAGAATGAGTCTGGGGACAGGACCTTGGCTTGTCACCTTGGTAGTAGGAGCAGCAGAGAATTCCAGGCCATGCCAGAGATGCCTTAAAGCTCTGCCTCCTGAGCCCATAGCTGGGCAGGGATCATGGTCTCTAAACAGAAAGTGGAAATTCATGGGTCAGTGAGTGGTACTAAAGTTGGTGCAGTTCTAGATGATTCCAGAGCATTTTAGAGGGGCCCAATGTAGTGCAAAATGGTTGGAGTGAATGGATCATTCAGGCCCCAGGTCTGGCACCACTGAGTCCCCTAAGTAGGTGTTAGAAGCCCCTGCCCTACTCACTTCAGCTTCTTCATAGCTTGTCCAGAAGGAGACCATGACTGTAGCACCACACCAGAGAGATACTGAGGTACACTCTGGATTATAGGCTGCACTGGTCCTGAAGAGGGCCTGACCTTTGAGGATGTGAAATTAAGAAGAAGAAAGAGTGTTTCTATGAGAAATACTGAGCAAAGGAACATCAAATATCAGATTCTTCATAGAAAAGTTGCCTGCATTTTAAATTAGTGTTTATTCTTGTGAAATTTATACTTTTTTTGCAGGCATACATGGATTAAAGGAATGAAGGAATAAAGTCATCTTTTGATGTAAAAATGGGTATTGTATATTTTTTGATACTCTCAATTACCAGATTCACATGAGTTATGAGTAGGATTCAGGGTTCAATACTCATGGATGATGAAGAACCTTCAGTCTTACAGGAGGTTTTGGTGGAGTGAAATGTGGCCAGCAGGAGGCATCCAAGATGACCTCATATTCCATTAGAAGCTGGAATGAATTTGTGATTCCTGGATGCTTTATTGGGTTGTTTCTTAAGCCAGTGAGTGGGTCTCAGGGAAAACTCAGGTCCCCTGGCACCTACTTAGTTGAAAAGGAGACTGACCTCCCCAGGGGCATTTGCTATGATACCCTAATGGCTTCTCTCAAGCTGATGGGAACAGAAGATTCTGGATACGTCCCTGGGTCTGGCCTAGGCAGGACCTGACATGGAGGAGAAGGGGGAATCTGGGCTTGCAGAGGGGAAGCATTGGAGCAGGGGATAGAGGGCGGGGAGTTCATGGATTAAAGAAAGGCATGATGTGGGTGGGGGGTGGGTTCTGTAGCAGGATAGAGGATCCTAAAGACACTGCAGGGAAGGAACTGGAACAGGGGCAGCCAGGTTTTCCTCCCTGCTAGACCACAGAGTAGCCCAGGCAGTCAAAGAAATTTCCTCCAACTGGAACCCTCCCAAGGACACCACTAGGGAACTCTCACATGTTCATTTCTATCCCAGTGGAGACAAGTCCTAGAGAACTGGGATGTTGACCCACCTCTCTACTCTGTACATAGAGACATATGTGCCTATTTTTCTCTGAGAATTTCACATGCTCTCCTTTCTAGTGATCACTGTCATCCTGCAGAGAGTGTTTGTTGGGGCTGAGGACTGAAGTCAGCAGTGTCAGTTTCACTGTTGGACCCAAGACACTTGTACTCAGGAGGATGAGAGACAGAACTGCAATTTTTGCTTTGGGATATTCCTGAAAACTGATTTCCTAGGTAAACACGTTCATTGAAGAACTAGTTCTTACCTGAACAAAGAGCTACCTTATCTAATAGAGGTTTACTAATCAACACCCACAGCAAAATCCCCCAAGCCTACTGCATACCAACCCTCCCCAGGACAATTCTGGTTACTTGAATACTCATCAAAACTCTTCTTGACAGACCTGCCTAAAAACTCCCCAGGACACATATTACAACACTAGAACCATCCCCTGTTATTCCCCTAGTTAACCATAAATAACAGCCTGCCACAATGAAATTCTCCTTAATACTAAGATGTAGTTTTGTATGATTGATGACTTGGTTTGGCCTTTGGGATTGGCATATCAAGTCAATAAGAATGACTTGCTCAGGTTCCAAGAGAACCAACTGATCCTGGGGCGGTACAGGAGCCTTCCCCTTATCTCTCAGGAATGTCTAGGCAGGGATGGGAGTAGACTTCCTCCATAGCATGTTGCATGCTCTCTGCTGTCAGGGTAACCAGGGTAGGAAGAGGCCTTTGGTGCCAGGCTGGTGGTAGATTTTTGTCTCACTTCCCTGTCTGCCTGTGTCACTGTGAGCAGCACTACTATCCAACACATGACAGTAATAGTCAGCCTCATCTCCATTTTGGGACCCACTGATGGTCAGGGTGGCTGTGTTCCCAGAGTTGGAGCCAGAGAATCCGTCAGGGATTCCTGAGGGCCATCTTTTATCATTGTAGATAACGAGCAGCTGGGACTGTGCTGGCTTCTGCTGGTACCAGTGCACATTTTTACTACCAATATTGTTGCCTTCACATGTGATTCTGGCCATCTGTCCTGGGGTCATGGAGATAGATGATGGCTGAGTCAGCACATAAGAGGCTATAGAACCTACAAGGAAATAAAAGGAGAGAGAGGACTAATGGTGACAGACACTTCCCATGAGATGCCCAGTTTCCCCATGGCCTGAAAGAAGTTCAGGAAATATGTGGAACCAATGGCATTCACTTGCATCAAAATCAGGCATAGTGGGAATGGAGATTTGAATCCATGACCAAGCCCAACAACCCCTTTCCTCCTCAGGCTCACAGAAGCCAGAGAGCACAGTGTTGGGATTTCAGCCTAAATCTGCACCAGGTTCTGAGCACCATTATGCCCACCACAGACAGAGCTCTGCTGAGCTCAGAACTAAGGCCAGGTTAGTTATACAGGAGCCTTGGGCGGTGTATGTTGGGGCCTGGGGCAGCACCTGTGTAATGAGCCAGGAGGCTGATGAGAAGGGCCTTCCAAGTCATGGTGTCCCTGTGGCTGCTTCTTGAGTCCCAGGCTGGTTTGTGTTCCCCCAAGACCACTCTTATTCCCTTGTTGGGGACAGCTGCCTGTTATACAAACCAGGCCAGCTTGGGGCTGCTACTGGAGGAAGCTGTGTGGTGTCCAGTGAAGGGCTCATCCGTAGGAGCCAAAGAGTGGGAGGGGCAGCTCTGAAGAACTACCCCCAGCTTACAAAATGCTCCTTTACTTTCTGGCCCAATTTCTTGGCCATGTCTCTATCCCAGTTCTATTTCTAGCCAGGAATCTGGGCTGACCTCGTTATATAAAGATGAATCTGTCTTTGTTATCAAAACAAACTGTAAGGATGACAATAAGAGCTTTCCTCAGCTATGGGATCCTGTCCCAGAAACAGCTCCTAGGCTGTGTGGGTCAATTAAATTCTTCCATAAGTGTACCTGGTATCTTAAAAGTCCAGTGAGGTACAATATTTCTCTGTCCTTGGTGTGAATGCCTCATTCAATCTTGGGTTCTCTGCCTCACATGTCCTAATGGCTGTAGGAAGTTTCTACACCTAACCTGCAATACTGACAGTTACAGAGCTTCAGCATGAACGGTGGCCTGAGGAATCCTGGACCTCTGCCATATCAAGAATAAGATTCTACAAAGAAAAGGGCCTTCTGGGAGACACAGACATCAAAGAACATCTACATCAATGTTATTCCCCATACTAGAAAAAATCCATCATTTCCTCCAGGTCTCATGTCATGGTCACTAACCCTCCTGCATGTGAAATCTCCCTTCTAGGGTGAGAGCTGGTGTTTGGAAAATTTGTCACAGGTGCACAGTTGAGCTCAATAAAATGAGATGGGTGAGGGAAGGTGGTATCAGGAAAAGCAGGAAACACCTAACAAATAGGAAAATCCTAGAAGAGGTAGAAATAAGAGAAATGAAAAACAAAAAATTTGTACTTGCTTCAAAGATGATACTGTAGAAAAATGACACATTTTCCTCTAGATCTCAGGTTGTGGTCACTACTAAGCCTCCTGCACTTTTGAATCCTGAAGCATAGGCCCATCCCATGCTTGGGGTGTTTTGTCAGGTGGTTCTCAACTGCCCCCTAGTGGCCACTCTAAACTGGTTGCTGTATGTCAGGGCATCCTTGGTCCAGGTACAGTTTGAGAACGTGCTCCTCAGGCCCAGGTTTTCTTGATCTTTGGCCAAGATCGGAAATTCATTTTCTTCCTATGAATGTTACCATTCTCGGGACTAGGAAGGATAGGCTCATATTACACAGTAATATATGAACAGGTGCAGTTGGTAGAGGAAGTTTAGAACCCACCTGAGTTACCTCTGCATATTTTTTAGGGTGGTGAGTAGTAATGGAAGTGGTTCCAGGTCCTGGTGCTGGGTGACAATGGACTCAGGAACTGGCTCTTCCTAGTGTCAGCTGCAGGTGCAGAGTCAATGTGAGTAAATGGTGAGAAGTACAGACACAAGCAGGAGCCCATTCACACCAATGCTTATTCAGACCCACTGTGATCTCCACCTGCTTCCATATTGGGAATTCAGAAGGAACATGATGCATCCTTTGTTCTAGGAGTTCCATATTCTGGTTGAGGCTGTGCTTTGGACCCACCTAGTGTGCAGTCTAATAGTCTGTCCCACTCACTGGAGACTATGATTTGTCCCCTCTGTTTCTTTGGAGATGCAGACCCTTATTACAAGTTCTAAGCAGCCAGCATTGATCATGTAGTACAACACACAACCATGGCATGAAACACTCTGTTGGCCAGAGTTCTTTGTTAGTGCAAACCTGCACTTGTGAGGGAGAGAAATATGTTGGTTTTTGCATCATTTTGCTCCTTAAATTCAGGTGTGATGGCTGAAGCTGCAAGAGCCATCCTCGGGTCTTAAGTCAACAACCAAAATGGAAGGCTAAGGTGGTAAGGATGGTGGAACAGAAGCTGAAAAAGGCCCAGGTTCCATAATGAAAAGGTGAGTAAGGAAGCCAGAAAACATCATGCGTCAGTTTTTTTTTTTTTTTCATAAGGTAAGTATATATTCTAAGTGCTTTGCTTTTCTAAGAGAAAAAAAAACAATTATCCTCCATGTGCTCATGAGTCTGTTTTAATGCATGTATTCTTGCATTTAAAAAAAATCTACAACCCACTAGGGAAATAATTAACAAAAATAAATTAATTAACTTAAACAATGATGGTGAAAAAAATTTTCACCGGTAATAATATGCAGGTAATTAATACACTGATTAGAGAGAGTTACAGGCAGCCTGGGATATAACCTGAGGCTGGGACTCCCCTGCAGATGTGTCACTGGAGCTGCCCTCAGGACTGGTGAGAAATCACAGCACATGTATGGGGACAGCAGAATCCATGAAGTGGGGAAAGAGTCTGGGCGTGTGATGATGGGAGAAGAAAGTGGTAATGTGAGGGGACAAGGACTGCAACCTGTTTAGTCCAAGATACTATTGTCTCCTAAGGAAGATTTTGGTGGCAGGGCAAATGCACAGTCAGAGATGTTGATGGTGAAATTTCCAGGTAATAAACTCAGTTCAATGGCATCTTTGGAGCACATTAGGAACCTCAAGTCCAGGGAGAAATGAGACACAGTGGGTTCCTCTAATCATGGCCCTGCTTACATGGGACTTGATATACCCAGAGGGTGGTTGCTAGTTCCTCTCCTCTACCCTGTACACACCATGCAGCCAGGTGGGAACTTAGACTAGAGCCTGTGCCTCTTGACCTAGGACAGGTGTGGAGTGTCTCCTAGTGTCATGTAAGTGACACAGCAATGTTTTCCTTGACAAGCCACAGATTCCCTGACCAGGAAGCATGGAATATTGAGAGTATACTTCATAGGGAAGGAAAAAAATGGGACTGAGAAAGGGAGTGACAATTCCTATGTTACTCAGAAAGGAGATGATAACGGCAAAAGCATCTAGACTCCCACTAATTACCTTCCCTGGATATACAAGGGTCATCCTGGGCTGGGCAAGAATATGGAAATACCCTCAGTCAAAATATTAGGATCCTGAAGCTTCATGCTATGATTAATCAGCTGACCATAGGGGCTGCTGCTACTCCTCACATGGACTGGACAGACTATAGGAAGTGTGTACAATTACCTGCACCATTCCCAAAGACCAAATATCCAGATTAGAAGCAACTACAGCAGTCATTTCATGGATATTTACCCAAACATTCCCCTGAATTATCACTTAGGCCCTATGTATTAATATACAAAATGTCATCTATTGTCAACTGAGGGCCTAATAGCATTAAAGGTAAATCTAATAATCTGTAGTAGTTTGTGCAGTAAATTATTTGTAGTTTGTTTTTTCCTATGTGGTCCAGCACTTGTACAAATTAGACATCAGTTCATATGCAAGTCTGGAAGGTATATATAGAGACTTTTTATTTTGCTTTTTAAAAATGTCCATAATGGCATATCTATATGATCTGAAAGACCTGGAGTAACCTTTTAAAATCATTTGTCCTAAATGTATGAAGAATCCAGCCTGGATTCTTATTATAATATAAGATATAATATTATTAGGGGTTTCATATAGAGGACATTAGACATTTTCATATATAGGACAAATCTAAATATGACTTTGCAAATATCATGGTCATACACCTGTTCTACCTTCTGATCTCTCTCTCTCTCTCTCTCTCTCTCTCTCTCTCTCTCTCTCTCTGTCTCCACATACTCAGCCTTATTTTGTATTTTATTTAGAGACAAGATCTCACTGAGATTTTTAGCACCTCTCTTTTGCTGAGGCTGGCTTTGAACTTGTGATCCTCCTGCCTCAGCCTCCCAAGCCACAGAGATTATAAGCATGTGCCACCACAACCAGCTAGATTCTGATCGCTTTCAATGACTTGTCTTTGCACAAAAGTGTCATTCCGATCCAGAATTTATCTCTTTAATGACAAACACGTGCCTGTTTTGTGCTGCTCAGTGTTTAATTGTGATCAGAATTGGGAGGCTCATGAACATATCTCCTTGGTTGTGGGAATGTGGTGGATTTTGTCCTTGATCAAATATAAGAGACATGGAGGCAATGCCTAATGGCATGAGCTATTGGGTGATCTTGTAATCAAACACCCACTTCTTTTCTGGGCACATCAGCCCTTCTCATCCTGAGGACAGCAAAAGCATCTAGACTCCCAATAATTACTTTCCCTGGATATACAAGGGTCATCCTGGGCTGGGAAAGAATGTGGAAAGGTCCTCAGTCAAAATATTAGGATCCTGAAGCTCCATGCTTCATTTGATCACAGTGTGAGGACCTCAGGCCATACGTTGGGCTTATAATTTTTGTCTTATAATTTTGGGCTTATAATTTTTTGTCTTAACCCAATGCCAAGTTCTGAGAGGAAGGTCAGAAACCAGGTCTCCCTTCTGACACACTCCATAATGAAATGGAGGAAAGAGAGTGTTTGTATCTAACCAAGCTCTCTGGAGTCCTTCCATTCTGAAATCCATGAACTAGTTTCTGCAACGCATTTCATGGAAGTGACAAGACTTTGCATACATGAACCAACTAATTCCTTGGGAAAACCACATTTCCAATAGACATCTATGCTGTTCTGTAATTTGGCTATAGTGAGAAACCAGCTGAGTGGAGACCAAAGTTACGGTCATTGTTCAAAGGATGAGTGAGACTCAGGCCTGGGTGTGGAAGGGCCTGTCTCTTCTGTTAATCTATCTGTGTTATTGTATTGTGAGCCAGTGTGAGTGGCACTCACTGCCATGTGCTATGGTATAGAAATAGTCACGCTTGTCCCTAGCCTGCTCCCACTGATGGTCAGATTGGCCATGTCTCCCAAATTGGAGCTAAAGAATTGGTCAGAGTTGTGTGGGGGTCTTAGGCTGAAATCATGGATGAGCAGCAGAGGGGCCAGACAGTTTTTGTTGGTAACAGTGTGCATATTTATTCCCTAATTTACCTTCAGAGTGTATGGTTCTAGCTTTCTACCTGGAGGTCAATGATGCTGAGTAG